TAGGGTTGAGGGTTTAGGGTTTTAGGGGTTTAGGGGTTTGGGGTTTTGGGGTTTAGGGTTTAGGGTTTAAGGGCTTAGGGTTTAGGGGCTTAGGGTTTAGGGGTTTAGGGTTTAGGGTTTGGTCCGGTTTCGGGCTGGGGGTTGGGGTGTTTAGGGTTTGGGGTTTTGGGTACCCAGAACACGGCAGAATCACGGATGATCATGGAGTTTTGGTAATGGTTCTAGCCTGAACCCCGATTGTGATCCTGGGTTACCCTGAGCCACTCTCTCTGATGCAACGGATACGAACGTTGTGCTCGGATGTTTTGTATTCTACAAGTCGTATGTAGAAGCAAACTGCACCTTAATCTGAGCCTCAGTGCATTCACACATGCTGCTCCCCATCCCTTCAACATGATACCTACACCCTATCCCCAAAGCCCTAAACCCCTAACCCCTAAACCCCTAAACCCCTAAACCCCTAAACCCCTATACCCTAAACCGCTAAACCCCTAAACCTCTAAACCCCGAAGCCCCTAAACCCTAAACCTTAAACCCCCAAGCCCCTAACCTTAAACCCCTAAACCCCTAAACCCCTAAAACCTCCTGGAGAGCTCCGAACCAAACTCATCCCCAGCCGACCTGAAAGGTGCTAAACCCCTCAACATCGGAAGTCTTAACCCGGAGCCCCAAAACTGAACATCATAAACCACCATACACCCATAAACCCTAAACCGCAAACCCTAAACCCTCCACCCTAAACCCCAAACCCTGAATTCCCAAGCCCTAAGCCCTAAACCCAGCAAGCCTCAACCCTATAGACCTTAAGCCTTCCGACCTACCTCCAAGATGGCTGCAAAGGCGAAGCTGTTCGCTTGGATCTCGCTGACTCGCTTCAGCTGTGCCTGCACTCGGCTGCTATCTCCTGGGCTCTGGCTGGTTTAAACATTCATCCTGATTCATAACCCTAGACCCTAAACCCTAAACCCTAAACCCTAAACCCCTAAACCCTAAAGCCTAAACCCCTAAACCCCTAAACCCTAAACCCCTAAACCCCAAAACCTAAACCCTATACTTGTTCAGGGTTCGGGGTTTCGGGATTTGGGGTCAGGGTCCAGGGCCTTCTGTCCGGCGATTCAGGGGTTTGGGAGCTCAGGTCTTAGGTGGTAAGACCATTCAGGGTTTAGGGTTTAGGGTTTAGGGGTTTTCTTTTGAGGTTTAGGGGTTTAGGGTTTAGGGTTTAGGGGTTTTGGGGTTGAGGAATTTCGGGTTTAGGGGTTTGGGGTTTAGGGTTTAGGGCGGCTTGGGGTTTTGCATGTTGCTTGAAGGTCTCGATATAGGCTGCTTGAGCAAGTTCAGACGGAGTGACCATGACGAGCGAACATCTTCAATTACTTCTGCCTCATCTAAGTTCCTGAGTGACGCCAAAATAATGAGGATACCCTTTTCCCTAATACTCGTTTTGAATAAGAGGACCCCCAAATAAAAAAGGGCAAAAAAGGGTACTACTCAGGAACCTAGTCATAATGGCAACTGAAACGGCTTGGAGGTTTGGGGGGCTTGTAGCACAAATAAAACAGAAGTCCTAAGCCAGTTATAGCCTACGGACCAAACTTTGGTAACTCTAGTTACACTCCCCCAAACCGTGAACCCTGACTTAACCCTAGCCGAGGTTCCGCCGGCAAAGGCATCTCCCCAAGTGACCACCGAACCGCTATAAAGAATCGCGGCAAAGGCCCGATCCGTACACCTTGGGCTCTGCTTGGAGGCTTTTTAGGGTTCAGGTCGTCTTTCAGGGTTTAGGGTTTCTGTTTTTTCTTTTAAGGGGCCCTTTCCCGTCTGCATATGGTCCACGCTACAGAACCCGTCTCGAGACGGAGGGCAACGTAGCAATCTCTGTGACTGCCACAAGCGACATGAAAAGCTTTAAGTTTTAGGGTTTAGTGTTTAGGTTTAGGCTTAGGGTCTGGGGTTTACGAGGCCAATCGAAGATGATATCCCTCGAACATTTCTTATGAACATAGTCTACCAAAGTCGTAAAACGTTCCTGCTTAAGAACAGACCGTGTGAAACAAGATTGCAAGCTACTTTCAAGAACGGCCGAGTCACTGGACGGCCCGAACTCCCCGAAGTTGCTGCCTGACGGAGCTGCTGTCGCCACCATCGCCTGGACTTCCCCATGTGACGACCGATCCATTGCTCAAGATGGCCGCAAACGCGCTTCTGTTCCCTAAGATTGCACGCACCTCGCGCAGCTGATGTTGAACGGGTCCGCTGTCACCACCGCCTCCAGGGTCTCCCCAAGTAACCACGCGCCTATTCTTCAAGATTGCAGCAAAGGCCGTTTCGGATGCCTGGATGCACTGCACACTCTTCAGTTGATCCTGGACAGCACTACTGTCGCCACCATTTCGAGGATTGCCCCAAGCCACGGCAGAGCCATCTGAGCAGATTGCCACAAAGGCAGTACAAGTGCAGTTCATGTCTTGCACACACTTTAGCTTCTCCTGCACAGCACTGCTGTCGCCACCTGCATCTGGATCTCCCCATGTGACTACCGAACCGTCTGTCCTATGTGCCGCAAACGCAGAATCGGAAGCCCAGATCAGATTAACATTCTTTAGTTGATCTTGCACATCGCTGCAGTCACCTCCAAAATCTGCCTCACCCCAGGTCACGACAGAGCCATCTGACAGAGTAGCAGCAAAAGCCAGCATTGAGAAGTCAATGGTTTCCACATCTGCGAGTTGCTGCTCGACTTTGCTGGGAGGTGGGCTCGACTCACCCCATGTGAGCACTGTTCCATTGGCTAAGATGGCACAGAAATCGCACCATTCTGCAAATATGAGTTCCACACCACTGACAGCGAAGGAAGTTGGAGGGTTTTCACCGAACCTGCCCCAGGTCACCACGGACATGTCGGAGCGTACCAGGGCGAACCCTGTACAGGACCTGGCGATTCCATCCGCCTTGGCCACAGCTGTCACCATATCCCCATCCTTACTTGCCCAATAGGCCAGGGAAATAAAAGGTTAAACTTTCAGATTACTTCTAAATTATAAGAACCCAAAAAGTTTAGAGGATTGCTACTAAATTATAAGAGCCCAAAAAGTTTAGAGGATTGCTACTAAATTATAAGAACCCAGAAAGTTTAGAGGTTGGGTATTGGATCACCAAGCATCCTTCAGTCCTGCTTTCTCCAGTGTCAGACTGCCAGGAAGGTCCCGGCTGGAGCGGACAAGGCCAGAGAGGAGGAACCCGAGCTCTTTCTGCGCCCGTCTTCGAAGCTCCCGGATGGTGGCAGCATCTTCAATTTCGATCTGGACCTGACGGCAGGAAAACTTGCAGCCTCTATAACTTAGCAGCTTGCAACAAAACCTCACTGCCGGCTGTGCCGGCACACCTCAAGCTGAACCTGCAATGGCAAAGCTATCGCTCAAAACTTGAAGCTGGAACGCTGCATCTCTTCTGTCTGTATACCCCACATTTACAAACAGTGACACTGGAGTCAGTACTCTTGTCGTAGCTGCTGCCGTTGCTGCAACTGCTGACTACTACCATGATGACGGCAGTGATGTTGTTGATGATGATCCTGATGATGACCATGTTGGTAATCGTGGTGATAGTGCTGGTGATCAGGAAGAGGAGAAAGGTCACTCGCTTCGCGCTAAGTATATAATTTACTAAGACATGACCCTTCGGAACTGCCTCCCTGCCACTCAACATGGACACCACCAGCTTCATCGACACACACGCTGCACAGGGTGCTCGGCTGCGCGGGCATAGTCACCATGCTACGTCTTGACGCTTGCGGGTGTCAGGGTTCGTAGGTTACGGCGTTCAGGGCGGAAGTAGAGGTCGGATTAAACCCTAAACCCTAAACCCCTACATTAGACCTCTAAATGCTTTTAGAGCTACAGTCTAAAAGGTTGCAGGCTTCGTTTGAGGGTGCGGAACTTCTGGGATGAGATTCTCGGGATGCTTCTGGCCCGGAATACTACATACTATAAGGCAAGACACTGTAATATATCATAATATAACACAATATGATGTACTCAACGGGTTGTACCAGTTCTGAAGTGTGGATGTCGAAACTGTCACGATTGCATTGAGGTGCGGTTTTGATCTCAGTGGCCGAGTCTGGGGGTTTCGGATTTAGGGCTTCTGGTCCAGGATTTCCGGTAATTGGGGGGACAAGTCGGCCTGTTGATATCAGAGTGACGCGGCTGCAGGTAGACTATGCATGCTTAATATAAGCAAAGAGGCCTACATGCCGAAACTCCAAAGCCAGTATTCCTGCTCACCCGGCAGGTAGTCTGCCCTACTGTTGATGACATAAATCCTGCATTACCTTAACGACCCTAAACTATGGGAACTACGGTATATTCCTTAGTATGGGTAGTGCAAGATTTATATCACCAACCCTAGGATCTCAGCCCTAAGATCCCAACCAGGTCTTCTAAAGCCCAAAGCCCTAAATCCCGAAGCCTCTACTGGGGCTCCAGCTTAGGCAGAACACTAAAGCCTCAATCTCTGAACCCTCTGATGAATGGCTGAGGGTTTTAGCGTCTAGGGTTGCTTTTGAAGAGCCTAACACTCTGTGTTTCGTGCACTATTATCTGCCTCGCCTTGCGGCTTAGCAGACTTCAGGATCTATAGTAGTTCGTTGGTTACCTGTTCGGTGGAGTTTACTATGCGGGTTGACCTCCAACGTGTTGTCTTCGAGGTTCGGCTGCAAATGGTTCCGGTGGCATAAGAGCTTGGAGGTGTTTTGGATGTTGTCTGGAGCTGGTTTACCTGCCAACTGTTTGGAGTTTGGGGCTCGTGACAAGAGTAAGAATCGACACAGCGCCCAAAGAAACCTTGAGCCCTCATCCACGCAGTGACGATCCCGAATCTGAACCCAGATTCCCGAAAACTTCGCAGGAGCACAGCAGAACAGGCAGTGGATGCACTTCAGCACCTCGGCGACGCGGTCAAGCTTTTGGCATCTTTGGAGTTTCGGTAGAGGTTAGGGCTTCACTTGGAGGTTCATGGGTAGTTATAGTGGGGTTATAATTAGGGTAACTATAGTTATAACCCATATTACGGGACTTATAACCCTACTTATAACTACCCATGAACCTCCAAGTAGAGGTTAGGGCTTTAGTGAGTGTAGGATAAGGGTACCTTATTTTGGGGTCCTTATAATAAGGAACCTACTATTTAGGGTACTATATTAGGGTCCCCTAGGTCAGGGTTTTAGGGAGTTGTAGGTTCAAGCCGTGTCGTTTCAAATGGCCCCTCGTGGGAAAAAGTAGTGGGACTCGACGCAGGTCTGCAAACCCTAAACCCTAAACCCTAAACCAAGGTTTCAGGTCACCAAAGGCTTCCCGAGGTCTGCAACGAAGGAGGTGCTTCTGCTCCGTCCAACATGCTCGACCGAACAACACATCAGCAATAACAATAATAATAATAATAACAATAACAATAATAATCATGTTTACGCGAATAAATGATAACCAGCTGACTACCCATGACAATGAGTACAGGAAAAGACTGGAATAGCCACAACTGCTACTACTACCACCACTACCACCACGACGACGACGACGACTACTACTACGACGACGACTACTACTACTACTGCTACCATTGCTAGTACGACGACGACTATTACTACTATTATACCAGCCTCGACCCCAAACAGCAAGTG